TTGTCCCCACACCTTTTCTGGCTCCTCTCCATGAGTCCGTCTTTGCTGTGCCCCTCGCATTGTGTGGGGTGCTATGGAGAGTAGAGACAGCATATGTTCAACCAGTCCTCGAGGCCACCTCCCCTGGTTTATTTTTAACTTTCAGTCCTTTCTCGACTTAAGTACTTGCTCTGGGAAGAAGCTATTATCTGTTTTAAGCTGTGCACATTTAACCTCTCAGCCACCATAACAAGTGTTTATTTAAAACAACACAGTACTGTATCATAGTACAATTTACACGTGCAGCCCTCTGCATTTCTAGCTTTTCCTGCCCGTGTCTCTGCTTTTGTGGTTTGGGGAGGTATAAACACTTTCAGTTACGGTTCACAGTCGTCAGTTTAATGAAATAACTGACGGCTAAATGGACTTGAATTCCAGGCTGCCAGGGCAAGTCTTCTATCTCTGGCAATTTGCCTGACCTGGCAGGCCTCTTTACTGATTGAAGTACAGCATCTCAGACAGCTCCTTGGAACAAGCTCTGTGCGGCTCAACTGTGGCCCCACAGCATTAAGGATCTGCTCTGTTTATTCCTATCTCTCAGACCTAGAACGGTGTGCACCACAGGTAGCACCTGAACATTTGTTAAGCCAGTCGGATAACACACACAGTGACTCTGGATGCTGGACACACAGTGTAGGGTCCAGAACAGGGAAGCAGTGAAATCCACTGAGTCTTCCTTCTGTGGTGTCAAAAGTGTCATCAAGAATGCCTCACAGATGACAGATTTTATTTTCTGAATGTTTTTTTTTTACAGAAGAAATACTGATCTAGACATCCCATGTTGACCTCAGATTATACTCATAATAATGAAATAAATTTGGTCTCTTTCCATTCAGTCTGCCAGCAACAGTTCTGGCTGACTCATAGGTACAAAGGAAAAAAATGGGAATAAACGCTTTGTCTCTCATTTGTGTATTTAAATCAAACTATGGTTAAGATGACTTGTGTCTTTTAGTTTTCCCAGCAAGGACCGTTCAAGGCATTCTCTTCTACAGATTAGTCTGACTTTGAGAAAAAGAAACATTTCTGGGCTGAATTGGTTTATTTCTCTCAGACTGTTCTCATTTGGCCGACGTAAAGGACAGCTCTTAAAAGCGCCATATCATTTTTTTAATCATATAATTTTCCATATGGAGTTTTAAAAGTTTTTTTAGAAGCACTGTTGAATTAAAGAGTAACCCATGTCTCAGAGATAGCTCATTTTACACACTATCCCGTGTCATAGATAAGGAAATGAATAAAAACTAGGCCTAGGGGACCAGGCCACATATCTCAGTGGGGAAGTGTGCTTTTGCAGCCAAGCCTGACAGTGTGACTTCAGTCGGAAGACTCGACGTGGTAGAAGGAGAGAATGTGTTCCTTCAAGTTCTCCTCTGACTTCCACATGTGCACTGTGATGTGTGTGTGTGCACACACACATGCACACACGCACACTAGATAAATAAAGGAAGAGAAGAGAGCATAGGCGGAGGTAAAGGGTGAAACACATTCCCAGCTTTTGGCCAGTCCTCTGTTGCCTCCTTGATTAAAAGCACAAAGATAGAATCCAGCTTCCGATAGTATAATGAAGTGGCTTTCCTTATGCTAGGTTTTCTCTTTGGCCAAGTCTACAGAGATTAAAGTGCTAAGTTTTTTGAAAACGTTCTGCAGTATAGCTCATTCTAAAGAAATGTTCCCGCATCAGTTACAGCTTCCGGGATAGCACGTGGAGCTTACTGTGGAACTTTGGAAAAAACCAGTCACTTTATTCAGAGTAAACTTTAAGGAGGATTTACTTTTTATGAAGTGTGCACCACGTACAACACTTCTCATACAGCTAGGTCAGCTTGTGTCAGGAAAGGGTTTCAGTTTTACAGTTGGAAGATTTTCATAGTATAGTATTAGTATAGATTAAAGAAAGGTCAGATAGCATTTTCAGTGGTTGGCAGTTTTCTTCTGAAGCCAACCCTTTTCATTTAAAAACAAAAATCATCCATCTCCTACCCACTGTTCCTCATGTCAGGAGGTTAAAATGGCGTAAGCATCTACTCTTGCAAAATGCATTCTCATCTTACCCATAACCATAAATTCTTGGAAGGTAAGTAGAGTTGTGCATCACGCTGCCTTGGGTGCCTCCATATGTCGCTGTCTGCATGATTGCTTTAGTATCTGGTCCTCTCACTCCACGATTCCCTTGCTTTGTACAGATGTTTAAAAAGTCAAAACATTCTTCAGGCAACAGTCATCACACACACACACACACATACACACACACACACACACACACACAAAACCAGCTGCCATGGAGTTTAAGGAAAGGATTTTAGGAAAATAATTATGTCTCCATTAGGTTGAAATGTTGAAAACATAGCAGTGCATGCAAATGCACTGCAAAATCTCTTAAGCCCTTAAAAGCATAGTTCTGTCTGTTTGAAAGGGAGGAGTAAGGATGTCTGTGATGTGATGGGGCGGGACATCTTTGCTCAGCTCAGTCTGAAGTACAGGTGGGTCCAGAGCATTGGGGCACATCAGGGAACATGTTGGAGAGAGGCTCCATCCGGAAGCTCCCTCTCAGGACTCTGGTCATCAGGGATTATGCATTTGCCCATTGCCAGTATTGCAGAATGCAAAACTCTGTGCTGACTGTTGGAGATGTGCTGTTGAGGAGGTGGGTAGCTTGCTTGGGTTTGTGCTGTAATATATTCTCAGAAAGCCTTTGCAATAAGACATGCGGAAACAGTTGGAAGATGATCATTGCTTAGATGAAGAACCAGCATTTACGTTTAAAACCTTAGTGCTGGGTCTGTGACTTCACACTGACCCCAGCAGCAGTGCTATGGAGGGCACTGCTCTCCACTCAATTCATCATTTAAAGTGTAGTTTGGAGCTCCTCATTCTTTCTCTGTGTACCCTTCACGTGTGGGATGCTGTCTGTGAGCCAGGCTGGTGTTGTGGTTTAGGTGTTACCTAGGCTGAGGCTAATCTCTGTAAAGTGTTAGCATTTGTTCGTCCTCTTCCCTGTCATCAATCTTTCACACTCATATCAAACCCCTAAAGTATCAGCAGGCTTCCCAGAGCTCCTGGTTAAAATTACCTTTTGCTTTCTGTAAACTCTGAACCTTCAAGCTTGGTGTTTCCAGCCGCCCCCTGTGGTTCCCAGGAAGCCTCTCTCTGCATCCCTCCCTGCCAGTCTCTCACTTTCTGTCCTGGAACCAGAAGCTATCTCATTATTGCAGCTACACCCACCAGCCTTCCTTCAGCAGAGGAAGTGTGTACATCCAGCCAGTAATTGCAGTTGCTTATGCAAACTATGAGGAGGTGGTCTGAGCTGCATACGCTACAGGCTTGTGTTGACTTCCCACAACAATGACACTTTGAAGCTACGTCCCCCCCCCACACACACACACACATATGATGAGCAACTCCTTCCTCTGACACTACTGAAATATGCAAACTTGCCTTCAAGGTATAAGCTACAATTAACTGATTTCTTAAGGTTTTCCCCTTTATTTTTATCTCAGAGTAGTTTGGATTTCCTTTGAAATGTGATTTTCTTGCTTCATCAGATTCATTCGTTCACTTCTCTATGTGCTTGACTCTTAGATCCACTCTGGCAAGGAGTATCGATTCCCTGAGAATGGATTCTGTCCTAGGTAAAACTGTGACGCTTCCACGCTCAGCACAGTTGAGATGCCACACACAGATCTTAGGACATAACTTTATTCTGTTGCTGACTCCTGCTTCCAAGGGTGGTGCTTTGATTATTGGTGTGGCTCTTAATAGTGTTTCTGATTGAAGTCCCCTTTACAGTATTGTGAATTATCTCTTTAAGATTATAAAAAGATTTTAAAAAACCTAAGGTTTTTTTTTTCGTTGTTTTTGGTTTTTTAAGTAATAGAAAAACTAGGAAGTATCCTTTCTCTACAAGCAGTGGTACATTGTTATTGCAGGTTGCCTTTGGTAAATAAGATTCATGAATACCAAGCGCAGACCTCGATTTGCTGTTTACCAAAGAGCTGTAATCTAATAATGGTGATGTAATAGTTGAGATATTTGAAAGTAAAGGTATTCCCTTTGAAAGTCACTTAAATGTTTTTACTCTATGAAGCATAATGCACATGATGTTGTTTTCTTAAAAATAATGTTAGCATTTTGAAAACAGTTACAAGAGAATAAAAAAAAAGTACTTTAAAACAAAACCAAAAAGTATCCAAATGATCTTTGTAAGAGCAGGAATTCTGGTCCTTTGGTATCAGTGCTAAGGCTGTGTTCTTAGGCTAGCACAGCATCTGGTTTGTGACAGTCCCTCTCTTCCCTCCACAGTGACTAAGCACAGCATCAGCAGTTTGATCCCTGTGTCAGGAGCCAGGACTGTGTTCTCAGGGCTGCTTCTGTAGAAGCTGGTTGAGCACGCAGTGTTTATATATACTCTTCCCGGATCTTATCTAATATTTAACTTCAAATATTATTATGTTCAGTTATTTAAGATAGAGAAGCCATATTGAAAAGAGCAAAATCCCACGTGAATCCTTTGCATAACTTTCTCTGAAAAAAAAAATCTTTTTTGTTTTCTTCTTAGTTATCCTTCTTACCTTCTCCTTGGATGGATCCAGGGAGACAATAATGAGTTTAGGCCACCACACTGTTTTTTTTGTAGTATAGATATTAATGTACTCTTGAATAGTAAGGTAAAATAAACTGAGTAATCTCAAAAAACCTGGTGAGTCTAACAACATTTTGCTAATTTCGTTTTTCAATTAAAATTTTGTATTTAATTTTTCAATATTTTTTATTTGCCTTTAAAATTAAAATACCATTACCAATTACATTATTTTTCTCCTCCAATTCTTTCTACAACCCCTCCCACGTACCCACACCCCCCAACCCCACCCTGCTTTTACCCTCTCAAATCAGTGTTTAATTTCTTCTAGTAGCTACATCTTCATTTTATGGTCCTAGTTTTATTGGATTTGTCTTTTCAGTGGGTACACCTTACTACATGTCTCCAGAGAGAATACACGAAAATGGATACAACTTCAAGTCTGACATCTGGTCTCTTGGCTGTCTTCTATATGAGGTAGGCACTGTTGATGAATTCTGTACATTGATACAGTTTCATTCATGTTATATATTCAATATTATAGTTCACATTTATTTTACTCTGGATGATATTTTGCAGTCTGCCTTCTTTGAGATGAATTAATTCATCAGGTAATGACTTATTTCTAAGTCCCAACATACTTATGTTATCTAATATATTTTCATAATTTTTGGACAAGAAATTTAAGTCCTGCTTTAATAAAATGCTGTTCTGCTTATCATGTGCACACACACACACACACACATGTATGAGAGAGATAAAGGAAGTGAATTTTTTTAATACATTGCAGGAGAATAATGTCATAGATTTAAGACACAAAAGTAGTTAAGTCTCTTTATAAGTATGTTGTTTCCCATTTATACAAGTGAAATCCAGCTTTAAGGATGGCTTCCAAATAGCTGAGCCTTGCAGGTTACCATGTAGGCTTGAATTCTGTTCTTAGCATAGGGGTTAGTGTCCCATAGATGGGTTCTCTACTAATACTGAGATGACGTCTTGTAGCTGTAGAAAAGAGTGCCTGGCTAACACAGTTTTCAGCATTCTCCACAGCCATTCAGCATACTCCAAAGTATTGACAGTAACCGGAGTCAGTGACTCCTATAGTCAAAGATGCTAACTAAAAACCAGTGAGCATCTAAGTGAGCTTTCCTGAATTGAAGAAACACAATGCATGGAGCCATTTCTGTGTTTCAAGAAGGAATCTAAAGTTGGCGTCTGTTTTTATCTCCTGACCCAGTGTCATCAGTGTGATTGTGGCTCATGTATGTGGAGATAGCTCCTCCATGTGCTTCGTGGAACGCCTGCCGACTTTTTGTAGTTTTGCTGATTTCAGATTCCTTCATTTAGGGAAAACTGACCTTTCTGGCTTTCTGCTTTCTCTGATGACTAAGGACTGCTCAAGGGACTTCACAGTGCTCCTGCATGAACTCACCACAGTCTTGACTGTGAAATATTAGGAATTAGTGACGTAGAAGAGCATGTGCAGCTTGTGTCCATGGGCCCATGAGGGGCCCATGCTGTTTGTGTATCCTAATGTGTCCGTGGGTGATGGGATGTTTTGGCTCACTCTGGATTTTGCTGATAATTTTGGGAGGGCAATATTGATCCAGAAAAAAAAAATCCGGTAAAGCCAGTTCTTAAGTTAATCACTTCATGTGATATTTTTTTTCCTTTTGAAAAGTTTTTAATCTGGCTAGGTAGCATTAGAGTAGTTCAGACCATAATCTGAAATCAAAGGAATATTTTCCCTTTAAACAGCCTGAAACTGGGTAGGAAATGAGTTCTCATAATGAGATGAAATTCAGCACTGGCAGGAGAAAAGCTGAGCTGAGGTACTGTTAGCTGAGTTAATGTTAGAGGAAGAAGTTATTGGTTCTTTCAAGACTGACAATCTCAGTATCAAAATTGAAACAATTATCTACATTGTATTATTGCCTTTGAGAGGCAGGATCCATTTTTATATGTGAACATCAAAATAAGAATTATTTCTTTGACCATTCCCACGTTCTCAAGGAACATGTGTCTTGCTAATTTCAAGTGTTTACCACGTTCATGTTAGGGACTATCTGGATGCATTTTCTCGAACCCCCCTCGCAAGAGTTGGCAACTTTTGCAAAACATTTCATCTGTCTTTATATTCCACATTTCCTTGTTTATCTTTTGGTGTAATTTAGCTTTTCAGAATTGTCTGTAGCATCAGATAGATGTATTTTCTATCATAATCCACCAAGAAATTACCATTAACAATGAAAGAGTAGGAAGCCCTTTTTCAGAATGTACTTTAAACTCGGGAAATTAGACTTTCAAATATTCCCGAAACCTTTTGAAAAAAAAAAAAAAACCAGGAGTGCGGTTTTAATTGATATGCAACAAAGTAGACTTTACTAATTAAAATCAAGATGCTGTGCTTTGCTACATGGACCTTTACATGGAAACGTAGGTTTTACACATTTCCTTTATTGTTCTGTGCAGCAATCGCATCCTTACAGGGTTGTAGGTTGGTGGCTTACAGTTCAAAAAAAAAGAGAGCTGCCACCAGGCCCGAAGACAGACAGTGGGCTTTCGTCCCTCCGACGCCCCCAGAATACTAATGAGGAAAGTCAGACCCTGGAGGTCAGGGAGCGAGTCAATCATTCTAGCGATCGTCTCAGTGTGCAGGATCAAATTAGCCTGAAAAATTCAGCTGCTGGGAGGAGAGGGCGAGCAGCTGTCAGGGGCAGCGCCGAGATGCACTAATGAACCAGATGAATAGTGCAAAAGCTGGAAAATAAAAACAGGACAGTTGACATTTTTCATCTGTCAAAGCAGGAGATGCATGAAAATATACTATTCCTGTTTAACTCCTTAGGGGACATTCAGACTTTTTTTTTTTTTTAACACTCTGCAGTATTGAGACAAAAGTAATATAATGAACTCCTATCATATGATAGAAAATGGATGTACATTTACTTAAGGTCTTAGAAAGGTGGAGAGATGGGAGTTCATATCGACAGCGTGTTTTTAAGGTGGCATTGTTAACATTTGATTTTATCGTATAGTGTCCATGCATTTTACATGTAAACATTGCTTATGATGGTGGGTCCTCCGTTAGAAATTCTTGCTCAGTGTTGTGTGTTTGGGGCATTCAAATTGTTATTTACTTTGTGTTATCTTGTGGGACAATTATCCCCAAGGTTATTCTGTGTGAACATGTGTGTAGGTTTTATATGAAATGCGGGGTACGTAAAACTGCATGTAAAGCTGCTTTCCGGGCGGGATTTCTAATCCTGTCCCCCTCCCGGCTGAGGCTCTGAAGGAGTTAAGCCCGGCCTCGAGCACAGAAGACAGATGAGAGCCATTTTCAGCTTGTCCTGTCCCCACTGACGCTCACTGAGTAGCACAGCATGGACCAGCGTGTTTCACACACACTCTGCCTGTCTGGGGAATGTACACATTGTCCTTCCAAAATCAAACTTATTAGCACATGTAGAAAAGGGTGACTGACTCTGGGGCAGCTTGGCACTCCATGTTGTATTCTTGGCGGCTGCGGCTCAGAGATTTAGAAGGTTTTGAACAGGATGCGAACATTTTAAATTGAATTTTTAGTTTGTAACCTTGCTTACCAAGTAGCTGCTTGTGCTTTTAAATGTCAAGTTGAAGCCATGTCTTAAAATACATTGAAATTCAGTAATGTCTCTTTTAAAGTGGTTCTTCTTCTAAGTCATGTTTTTATTGGCATAAAGAAACCATCTTTGGATACCTTGAATTCTGTCTAGGAATTATGGATTTTTTTAAAACACATTCACTGTTTCTGAGACAGTATTAAAAGAACAGTTATGATTTAAACTATCTAAGGATCAATTACAATATAAAAAATCTTTTCTTTCACAAAATAGCCATTTTTAAAGAATATACTATGTATGATGAAATGACATCCATTCTGTTGCTTAAGTCCTTGATATATTTAATTCAATTTGACATCACCTTTATGTTATATTTGACCATTACATAGTTGAGCCATACCACTTAATAGCTGTTTTGTGATGTAATATGGCTGTATATTCACACACAATATCTTCCATTTCTTAATATTGTTTTACGTTGTGTGAGTTATGCTAGCCATTCCTCTTAAGGAATTTTAAATGTTTCAAAAATTAAAATTAATATTTTTTCACACTTAATGCTCAGAAAAGGCTAATCATAAAAATCAAAATGCTCATTTAATTTTATTCAAAGTATTTATAATTATTTTCCACCTCAGTTTCCTGTACCTGATGAAGTCACCTTTAGAGTTACTTTGTACGTACGTACGTCAGTTTCACTGTGAGTGTTTTGCAGATGGCTGCATTGCAGAGTCCTTTCTACGGCGACAAGATGAACTTGTACTCTCTCTGTAAGAAGATAGAACAGTGTGACTACCCGCCTCTCCCTTCGGATCACTATTCAGAGGAGGTAAGGACTCTTTGGCCCATACGTTGGTTCATTTTGTCAACATATTTTACTAAGGGATTTTACTTTCCTCAGAAATGCAGATGGATGGTCCAGGTGGCAGAAAGAGCACTTTGATTCCTTACATCTTCTGAGTCTTGCTGTTAGATGAACTCTGCAGCTCAGTTTGGAGTGGGTCACAATGCAACATGTGAGAGAACCATAGTTGGCTTTCCTGATGGAAAGCAAACCCGTAGAAGGCAATTGTTCTAACCCAGCACTAGTCCCCTAGCCTCTTGTGAAGAGACTGAGTCCTCAGTTCCAACCTCTCAGACAAGAAAACAATGAGAACTCAACTTTGGGAGACCTTTGCTCCTGGTGTTTCTCAAATCTGAACTATGTACCTCTCAGCCACCTATCTCTGGGTCTTTTTCTTTCTCCTTTCTCATTGGGCAGTACCTTTCCTCTCAGCCCTCATGGCTTCAGCCACATTCCTCTGGGTAAGTCTTTTAAGGTTACTGTGCTAGGCCTGTTTATAAAATACATTAGATGGGACTGGCAATTTTCAAAGGCTTTCAAATATGAATCCTTGCTTGCCTTGCTAGTACACTGGAATGAGTTGTTTTGGCACTTACCCAACATCCAGTTTTTCATTAAACCATCTTCCATTTTATCCTAATATATGATGATTATTTGAGGGGCGTGCAGAATAGCAGTGTCTCGGGTCAACTAAGATGAGCTTGCAGGATCATTTGGGACTTCTCATCTGGGACCTACCTATGAAAGCACTAAAGTCTTGGCCATCTCCGTCTCATGAGCAACAGATATTTTTGCCCCAGGAAAATGGAAAGGAGCAAAGGAAAAATGGAGAACAATTATAGTGTTCACATATTAAGTAATCTTGTCATACTTTCTATTGTGAAATGAAAAGCATCTGGTTCTAGTATTATACAAGGAAATCTGAGTCCGTGCAGCTTGAATAATAAACATCTCTAAAGATTTTTTTCACTCTATGTAAATCATGTGTGTTCCCAGAATATAATTAGTACATATTCATCTAATAGTCTGAAACTGATAACAACTGATGCCTGCATGTTTGCTTCCTGGCATTGTATTTAGATAATTAGAACATACTCTTCGGAAGCAACGGTGATAATTTAAAGTATTATCTTTATTTGATGCTAATGCTCTTATGTTAGCCATTTTTAATTATTATTTTGGGTATAGAATATAAATATGGCCTTTCACAAAACCAACTTCAGAACTAGAGGCCTGGAAATACAGTAGAGTGTGAACAATAATGCAAAACGGTAGCAAGAATGTCAGGCGCCGCTCTTTGTTGTGTCATTCAGGCTGCCTTCTTTTCTCCGTGAAGCACATGAATATTTCACGTATCTGCATCCTCATCCCCTATTCTTCTTGACTAATTTTCAGACTGTCTGAATTTGCATTTCACATGGTAGCTGATTAGGAGATGCCGAGTGCAGCAGCGAAGCCTCAGCAGGCAGTTACCATGGTGACCTTCAGCAGGATTTTAATGATGATACCACTAGTGGTTCGTTGAAGTCGGCCTGCCTGCAGGGCTACTTCACTGCAGCTAAGTGTGAAGTTGGATATGCGGCTTCTCAGCCAAGGGGCAAATATCAAAGTCTGGCCCAGATAGAAGGTCTTCAAGTTGGGAAAGGAAAATAGATTCCACTTTTTACTTTGCTCTGTATAGTTACCAGTTCCAAAAAGAGCTATGAAGCAGAACATGTTATAGGGTGCACCTTCCAGAAGAGACAGTGCAGTTTCTGGTAATGGTAAAGCCTTTGTCATGTCCTGATGAGGTGGGAGGCTGGAATGCCTTGGTAAACAAGGAAAATAATTCTTGAGAAGCAAACTTGAAAATCATGGTGAAAAACATGCAGTCTGTATTAACAGAGTTTCTTTAATCTGATCAGGAATGAGGAGTTCTACAAGACTTTGAAGTGCTGGTGCTGCTAATAAATGTTTTCCTCCTTAATGAGGAACTAAATTTGTTTATAAAATAATTACTGCAAATTTGTGGTAGCAACAGAATCCTAAGCAGATTTACTGCCACCATAATGACATTAGTGAGCTCTCCAGTGCTTATTATAAAGGCTGTTCAATGGTTTTAAAATCCACATTGGTGTTTGTTAGGTTAGCAGAGAATAGGGACCATGAGAAGGTAAGTGCCAACTTTACCACTGAACTTGTCCTAAAGACTCAATCTATGTGTCTTTACAAGTTAAAATGGTAGGTTTCTGTAAGAGAAAAAAATGATAACTTTGAGTATGTCGAGAGCTTTCCAGATTTACTGAGGCACCCATATATTTTTAAGCTTCCTGCCCATTAAGGATTTAAAAGGAACACTTCATCCTAGGGCAGCGATACTTGCAAGCCCGCTTCAGCAATAGGAGTTGTAAGAAAAATAACAAGACTTCTAAATACAATTTAAAAGAACTCAAGAGCTTAAAAAATGAGAATTTCCCCCATGTTATGTCCTACAAGATAATTATAGTTTAACACTAAAGATCAAAAGCAGCATGCCTTGGAAATATAAGTATGTGCATCAAATCTTTCCTTCTAAAGTATGGTGTTTATGTACACATAATGTAAGTTCTAGATGGATACGTTTCAGCAATGCATAGTGGGTCTTAGAAAATGTATATTAGGACCTTTGTTTATGGTTTTGTTTTATGTAAATGTGGTGTTCCTTAGTCTTTTTTTCTCCCCGTAACACCCTCATCCATATGTGAGTACACTTACTGTACTTGAAAACAGTTACCTTCCCTTAGATTATTCTCAGCGTAAACTGTCAAATGGATTATGACAAAGCAAGCACTTTCTATACATTTGCTCTTTATTAGGAATCATAAGTCAAGCATCTACTCGGTCTGACCTCTACGTAAAACTCAGTGGTCATGGACACGTCTTCTTTGCCTTCATGGCTAGTGTGAGTTCTGCTAATAGGTCCATGAATTTTCACATTTTACAAGATGCTATTTCCTCTTTGCCAGCTGGCCTTCTTCTGTACCATTTCCCTGGCTCTTGGCTCCCTCACCTTCTCTTGGCAGTCATGCTCCTTGGTATATTCGTCTTCATCTCCACAACGTCAGGCAGTGACAGCAGCTCTGTTCTTGTCTAGGCCTGACAGGTTTTAAAAGTTAAATGATAGATGACCGATTGAGGGAATGAGGAAGTAATGGAGTTGGTATTAAAAAGAAGCAATTTAAAAACAAAATTAATGGCCTAAATAATAATAGTTGAATGGCGGAAACTTCTCAAAAGAATTGTCTAGTGAGGCACAAGATTTCCCAATGGCATGTTGGGAGATGTGGTAGCTCTCCGTCACTATTACTCTTCCTCGTGTGGGTTTTCTTCTCATTTTTTTATATAAGCATCATCAACCATGAGACATTTGGGGCATTTACTAGACTAAATGAAGCATACTTTGTCCCTGTGCTTAATTTCTTGAAGAGATACTGGAACAGTCATCAGAATCAAGTATGTGTTCTGTCAGTCATCTCTTTAGACCTAGCAGGAAAAAAAAAATAGCTTGAGTATCTAGATAGTTAAAAAAAAAAAGTTCTGAACATCAAATAAAGCATTCACAGATGAAATGAAAATGGGGTAATCTTGGTCCTAGAAAACAGACTTAATAGCAGTGTTTTGAGTAGAAAAAAAATTTAAACACCTATGAAACCTTGGAAAGATGGTTAGTTTTTTTTTATTGAAAGTGGACTGTTGTTAGAACAGCAGATGTACATGCATTTCGTGGTGGATGTCTTTTAGTCATTTTCTTTGGGTAACACTAGGCATTGAACCCAGGGCCCCATGCCTGCTAGGCAAACACTCTATCGAGATATGTGCCCAGCCATCTTCTATGTTTAATTGAGATAAAGAATCTCACTAAGTTAGGTAGGCTTAAAATCACACTACAGCCCCAGTTGCCTTTCACCTGGTGATTCCCTTGATTTAAACCCTCAAGTAGCTGAGATTAGAGGCCTGTACTACCAGGCCCAGCTCAGTAATGTTAAATTTAACAATATACATAAGATAAAGAGTGTATTTCCTAATTATATTTTGGAAGACTGACTGGCTTTGTAAGTGTTGTTATTGCTTTTTATAATTGAAGAAGCCAAATTGCAGTTTACGAATCAGAATTGATGAACCACTTTTCAGATTATAGTCTCTCTCATTTTCTATTCAATGTTGCTCAGTTTTATAGTTCTCGAACCTTTAGCTCACAGAAAGGTTTGTTGTATTAAAAATAGTTCATTGGAACCACCATCTCATAAAATTATCCTTTGAAGTGTGGACCTGCAGGTTGTATCCACGGAGAACTGGTGGGAAATGAGCTGCAGGCTTTCACCTCCAAGCTGCAGCCTGCTTTGCTTTTACCCCATTCTGTTATTTCTGTCGTCTTAGTAAGACAGCGCGCTCTCCTTTTCTTTCTGTTCCGGCACACTAGAGAAGGGTCTGCCGGAGAACAGGGCTGTGTTTGCTTGCTGTCTTTTTCCATCCTGGCCTTTCCTGGTTTGGCACAGCACTGCAGCCTAGTGCTTCACTCCCATGTTAAAACTGGCAGAAAATGCTGCTTTTCATTCTTCTTGGGACATCAACACATAAAAATAAACAGAACTGGCCAAAGACAGATTGCATTATTGCGACCTGCCGTGGCCATACACACATATACAAACGAATAAAAATCATGACTTTTCAGATTATTTAAAATATACAATAGTACAAGGTTTATAAAGTTTTCCTGTGATACAATCAACTCAAGCAATATTTAATTAAACAAAACTGATTTTGTGGCTTTTATAGGTCATTGGAAAATCTGGTGTGATAATTTGGCTTTGATAAAACTAGTACTGCAGTCTCAACTTTTGGAATCTGCCCTTTTATCAATATGACAACTTTTTATTAAAGAGACTTAAGTTGGAGACTTTGTTCCAGTTTATACGGATCAAGTAGACTTCCCGTGTTGACAGCAGTAGACTTGTAGCCCTGCCTTGGATGAG